GCCGGCTGAAAGCCAAGGCCATTAAGTTCTAAGCTTTGCTTCTCATTGTCGATTCAGAACACTGTGGTTTTTGTTCTTTTCTTGCATTTCTCGTTTAGCTGGTGAGTTACTTAACTCTCGCAATTTTATCCTTATGTGTTCTCATTTCTGAATCTCTGGCTTAACATGTTCTTGGTTAACTTTTAAGCATCACTTTGCTAACTCTTGCATTTACTCGCTCTCAATGCTACTAGTTCTAAGACTATCTGTGCCTAGTTGGGTAATTTGAACTTCTTTAGGGCATATTCAGTTAATGTATTAACTCTTGAATGCTTATGAACATGTTTATTCACCTACCCCATAAATCCCTGTAGTAGTCTGTGTTGAGACTTTCAGTGTTAGTCATTATGGCCCTCAACATGCTTATTCGATCCCATCTCCCTTTAGTATTTATTTGTGATCTCAGCATGTTTTGCATTGTTACTTTAAGGTGTTAGGCTAAACTTTGGGCACAAGCTGAATCATATTCTGTTAATTAGACCTCTATAACAATGCTTGAATGTTTATCTACTATTTATGTGCCTTTCATGCTGTCCAGAATCTTTGTAACATATTCTAGCATATGTGTTTGTGATCCTGCCCCATTGCTTGCCCTCCCCTTTCTGTGATTACGTGGTTTAGCACAATGTTGCCTGCATACTTAGCATAATTGCCAATCATGTTTCAACCTGTCTAGTGATAATAACTCCAATCAATCCTGCAAACATATTCTTATCAGCATGTGACTATTTTTGTGCTAAGTGTTTAATCTGTTTACATTAAGCTGGCTTTTAAATTATGTGATTTGGTCAACTGTTTGCCTAATATGTTCAACTTGGTCATGTTGTTCAAACCCCTCAAGTCATGTCCCTCAAATTTGGTCTTTTCTCTTTCACTTATTACTTAAGTTTCTTCGAATCCTATTCTTAGCCGGTTGAAAGCCAAGGCTATTCAGGTTCTGTCCTTTGACCTCTCTAGTGTGAGCACTGCTCGGGGTCCATTTGAGGCCCTTGTGAACTCTGACACACTAGGACTTGGTCTCTAATCCCTCCTCTGAATGATCTCTGTTAACTTCCCTAGTGTGAGCACTGCCCAGGGTTCTTGAAGCCTTTGGGAACTCTGACACACTGGGGTTTTGGTTCCATATGCTCGACTTTTTTTTTAAGACCACTGGGGAATCCCTCAATTCCTGGCTGCCTTATGTCCATAAACAAATGATTTTTGTGCTGTTGTGAACTATGAGAATGAAGGTCTGGCCTGGCCAAGTGCACTTTTGGGGCTTGTTGTAGGCTCCCTATAGTTATACTTATTCTGTAATTTACTACATTCAATTCTGGGTCTGTAATAATTATTGTAATAACATTTTGGGGTGTTAGTAAATGTGGGAAAGGGATTTTTGTATACTTGCAACAAATTGGGTAGAATCCTGCCTATAGGTCCAACAATGTGCTATTGCATGCTCAGTTATCGTGTGTTAGAAATCCTGCCAATAGGTTCAACAATGTGCTATTGCATGCTCAGTTATCGTGTATTAGAAATCATGCCCATAGGTACCCTATTATGTTCAGCCATTATACATTAGCAATCCTGCCTATATGTTCAATACTTGGTTTAGTTGTGTTCTACTTGTTAGAAACCATGCCTATAGGGAATTGTATATTCAATATGCGTGCAGTATTCTGTTTACACGCTACCTTATTCACAAATTATAGAAATCATGCCCATATGATCTAAAATTGGATCAAATTGTAGAAAGCATGCCTATAGATTCGAATCAGTTGAATTATCATTTCTGCCCGTTTGTTCACGAATTACTCTCACTAGAAAACATGCCTATAGGATTCAAACAAATAATCTAGATATGTTTCTGTGACATGCCACTGTCTACTGTCGCATAAAACACCTAGATACCATGCTAATAGGCTTAATTGTATTATGCTAAAATCAGTAGGCAAAACCTATGTAGGTTCTACTTATCGCATTAAGAAACTATTTTGTACATGACTATTTGTTCATTCATTCAATATCACATAGATATCCTGCCTATAGGATTCTGAAATTAATAAAATCTATCAATGATAAACAATTTGGCATGCATTTGATGTCTAAATGCGGAGGCTAACTTGAGCCTATACTTGTTTCTATTTGAAAGTTCTTGTCTGTCGCTTATTATTTTCCTTTTTTGAGCAACCTATGTTAAGGTCTAGAACCACCCTAAAATAGAGGTCCAAATGCCTCCTAGACCATAGGCATGGGACAGGTAGTGCACGCATAGGATACGACTTAGAATTGATTAGTGCGCTTTAGGTAAACAACTTAAAGATAGTAATTGGGTAGCAAGAGATAATAGTCTGTGCCCGGTGAATAGTATGAGTAACACCCCATCTCGAGTGAGTTACGAAGTATTATTTATGTTGCACGGGGCGATCCTTTAGGCTAAAAAACTTAGGACCCCCCTTCCCCTTTGTCTTTCAATTGTTCATTCACGTTTAGTAATTCCTTGTTTCTTAGCTTTGATCACATATACTAATTCATATAATTGAGTTCGGTCGGGACTACAGTTGTGGACCTCAAAGAGTGCCTAACACCTTCTCTTCAAGGTAATTTTGAGCCCTTACCCGATCTTTGGTAATGCAAACTGGTCAAACAGAGTTATTTGCAAATATGTGCCCTAACGCACCTTAATCCGTTAGGTGGCGACTCTCTCTTTTAAAACCCTTCCTTAAAAGAGTTGTCAAAACCCGATTTCGCGAGAAAAAGGGGGCGCGACAGTAAGTGTCGTGGTTAACCTTGACTTGAGGGATTAGGACTTGTTTGCCTACTTGCTATTTGTTTAAATGTTGGGAACAACGTATATGTGAGGTGACGAGTACTTATGTGTTGTTATTGGGCTAAAGCATGCGGGTAGGACTTGGTTCTTGAAATTTATTTCCTTCTTTGATCATGATATCCATGCTTAGACTAGTAATTGTTAAATTGATCGTTCTTTCCGCGTTTATGGGCTGTCTGTCATAATTGAGTAAATTTTCTGAAGTTGAGGTTGGTATTGTGGAACCATTGTTGACGTAAGGCTTGTTCTTGACTATCCTATCTCCCTTTTGTTATATGTTCATTATTATATGGTAAGGGAGAGTGCTAATGCACGAAGGGTGATGCCGTGCCATATTATAAGAGTTAATGCACGAATGGTGATGTCATGCCATATTTTGAGAGTTAATGCACGAAGAGTGATGCAGTGTCGTATCTATTGATTTATGATGAGAGTGAGAGTAAAATCATGAATGGTGATGTCGTGCCGTTATTATTGTTTCAATAGTGAGGTTGAGAGTAAAAGCACAAAGGATAATGCCGTGCAGTTTTATTCTTTGTGTTCCGTTCATCTTGTTGGTTAAAGATTTACTGACTGTCTCTTATTATCGTTCCTATTGTTATTACTGTATCTTGCACTCCTGATCGCATGTCCCCTCCCGAGAGTACTTGTTAATTCTTTATTTGATGTTATGTTGCTCGTATATTTCTGTCCATACAGGTTTATTACGTGGGTGTCATGTCATAGCCTTGTCACTACCTCGTCGAGGTTAGGCTCGACACTTATAGAGTACATGGGGTCGGTTGTACTCATACTACACTCTACACTTCTTGTGCAGATTTTGGTACGGGTCCCAGCTGTCCATGAGGCATTTCAACCCGGAACTGCTTTTGGAGACTCGAGGTAGATCTACTGGCGTCCGCAGACCTGAAGTCCCCTTCCGCTTCCCCTATTTTACTGTTCTTTTCATTCAAGACAGTTGTTTTTATTTCAAACCCTGTTTGTAGAGATTCTAGAAGCTCGTGAATTGTGACACTAGATCCGGGTTGCACTAGACATTATTGGCTTTTATGTTATTCTGTACTCAGTTTTAGTTTTATTTCGGCTTAATTGATTTTGGTTTATTGGAATTGGTTAAAATTGGCTTAAAGATTCTCTAACGTTGGCTTGCCTAGCAAGTGAAATGTTAGGCGTCATCACGGTCCCGAAGGTGAGAATTCCGGGTCGTGACAGATTTCTTCTCCGTATTTGTAAATCGTTATTTATTATTGTTGTTATTTCAGTAAATGTTAGACTTACCTATTCTCTAAGACTAGGTGCCATCACGACCTCCTAAGGAGGAAGATTTGGGTCGTGACACATAAACATGGCTACTATGTGTACCTCATGGTGCTCTGAACTTAGTCCTCGCGGATGAGGCGTCTCACTACAATGTCATGTGGGTGTTGACAAGTTTGCTAGCAAGATCATAATCCCGACCAAGGGAACCCAATCAAGGGTGACTATCAAAGCACCTAAATCAATGGTACAACTGTAGTCCTATACCAGCACGTGTAACTTCGGGTATTTGGCCTCTTTATAAATACCTTCTCATTGATTAAGAATACTTCCAAAATATTTCATTAAGTACTTTATTTCCTTAGTACCTTTGGCCCATAAACCATAATCTTTAAAGTTAGGCCCACTATGTCATATTCTTTTTATTTCATAATCACCTGCATTGTCATTTAAAGACTATTAAGTCTATATTCATATTCAAAGCTTTAACACTATGTTCAATTTATTTAAACTTAAAAAATTCAACCATAGTTATTTTTATTTGAAAATTATATCATCATGCTCATTTGAAGTTTAGAAAACACTTACAATCACATCAAACACTCACACCCACACGTGCACGCGCAAGCACGTATACGCAAGCGCGCGCACGTGTATATATATATATATATATATATATATATATATATATATATATATATATATATATATATATATATATATATATATATATATATATATCTTTTATTTTAAAATATATGCATAATGCATGATTACTTGTCCCACACAATTATCCAATAATATTTTATAAAACACAATTAGACATGTAGATCGTGCATGGAAGATATGGGTGTTTTAGAAAAATAATTTTATGTAAGAGTTCAACTCAACATACCTTGGATGTTCTTCTAGCTAACCATAACTCCTCGTGTTTCAAACGACTCAATGAGAGTCCATCTACATAATATAAATCATTCAAGTCATGGTTTAGATCACTTGGGCATTTTATCAAACACTTAATGTGAGTAATAGCACCAGCCTTAAAAAATGGTGATTCCGGGCTATCAATCATCTCTCATATCAACCAACCAATTAATAATATTCGTGGGTTATTTTCAGCCTTCATTAGTATTCATTCAACCAACCAACAATCTTAACTCATTCACTACTACCAATCATAATTCTTCATGTCCCTAAACCAACTCATCAATGGCATACTAGGACTTTCAATCTATAATTTTTACCTTATCACTTTTACTACTCAATAATAATATTTATATATTTATTTATGTCCAATAGATAAGTTAGAAGTGATAGAAAGTACTTTTGAAGACAAACCCCATAAAACCTTTTACTTGAGATTTTGGAGGATCTGGAAGAATCTAACAAATTTGCATGATTGAATCTCGTTAATACTAGTATTAATCAACTTTAATTAACACAATTTATGGATAAAAACTCACCTTGTATGATTCAAATGAAGCCTTGGCCTAATTCCCCTCTTGCTCTCAAACACTTGGCCAAAAATCTCGTCCAAAAGGATATTTATAGACTGTACCGATTGGGTAGCGTGCCTTTTCACACAAAAGCACAAAATAAAGGTCTCGTCATACATTTTATAGTTGATTTCTACGGAAAAGATTTATTTAAATATAATTTATTTGATTTTGAAATGGAAGAATTACATCCTATGTCAGTCGGCTCAATCTCACAACCATAAAGAGCCCAAGCTTTTAGAGTTTACCCGACATAGCTTATTTTGCAAATAATGTACAAAATGAATTTCATCGATCAATCTAGCGTGAAGAAGATAACTAGACAACATCCTTTATCTATCTTATTTATTTTTTCAACTTTCAAAGTAAAGATGTTGATGACGAAGTCAATCAAGAAACTGCTGGCAAAGTTAAAGATGTCTTCGAAAAATAAATCTCCGGCGGCGGATAACCTCCTTTACCAATTTTTTCCCTTTAATTTTCAAGGTAAAGAGGTCGACGACAAACTCAGCAAGGTCATCGAAAAATAAATCTCTAGTGGTGAATAGCCATTTTTACCCACTTTATGTTGTTTTTGTTCTGCCGAAAAAGAATCCATTTAAAATTGAACCATTTTTGTGTTTTAGTAAATAATTTGCTTTGGTGTTGTATTCAGGCAATTTTCAAGTTATTCAGATGATGTTCAAATTATTTATCTTACTTCTTTTATAAAAAAAAAAAAAAATCCATCTCCATCTTCTCTCTTTAATTTTCAGATCTAACTTCCTTTGTTAAACTCTATTTTGATATTTTGGTGCTGAAATAAAGGTGTAATAGTGAACACAAGATATTTTCTGGTATAAATATTGTATAATCACTGTTGGTACACACTTATATATTATTGTATAATTGTGTATAAAATGTATATTTATATATAAATGTGTATATATGTTCAACACATTACATAATTACTTATTTCACAATGTATAAGGTTATATATACATTGTTATTATATAAGAGGCATCTATAGAAGTTTGACACTTCTCTTCTTCTTCTTCTTTCTCTTATTTTTCTGATATACATTATTATACATTTCATATACAAATTTATACATAATTATACATCATTATACATGTACTGCACAAGTATGTGTATAATGAAATTAATTTTTTTTCATGTTTTCTTCCTTTTTTCTAAAACAATTCATGTATAAATTTACTTTCCTTATTGATTTCTCTGCCACGAACTTACAGCAATTGTTTTTCAATTTTACCATATAAGTTGAATCAACAAAATTAAAAAAAATATAAGCTACTCGGTACTTTATCTTGTTTTGCCATTTTTGAGGAAGAATCCTTTGGGAAAGGTTACAAACTTGTCTATGCTCACTATTTGTGATGATTTTTTACAATTATGTGTAGTCTGTTTTAACTAAAACTCTTTATTGTAATTATATAATTGCTATTTTCGCAAGTAGCTCGTGCAATTTCATATTTTGATTTTAGGATGATATAATAGGAGAGATCACTAAAGATAAATTGGGGGAGAAAGATCAAAATCAGATGACGGAAGAATCAGAAAATCCCAAGACTTCATCTAAATAACAATTATCCTAATGAAACTCCTCTGCTAAATAAAAAAGCAAGAAAGTACTCTTTTTTCAAACTTTAGCCTATAATTTTTGGGCTACAGATTTGTAAAGTTATGACTGAGCTATTATATTGCAACATATGCCTATGAGTTGTACTTATGTGTAATTCTCCCTTTAAAAATCTAGGAGTTTCTACCGGGAAAAATTCAAAAATAGCCAGATTTACAAGTGGTAATTGAAAATAGCCACAGTTTTAAAAGTAATTGAAATTTAGTCACTTTTCATGTAAAGATAAATCTGAATGAAAACACTGTTCAAAATCCGAAAAATATTCCAGATAATATATTGGAGTTCGAATTTTTTACATGTAAACTTCTAGCACAATATACTGGAGTTCCAGCATAATATGCTGGAAGTTCATACACAGATGCTCCAATCTCCATTATATTATGTTGGAACTTTTCGTGTGCATATGCTGGAAGTTCATACACATGTCTCCAATCTCCGGTATATTATGCTGGAAGTTCATACACATGTGAACCAAGATATTATACTGAAACTTTACGTGTTACAGCAAAATAATAGCTATTTTTCATTGACTTTGCAAATGCAGGCTATTTTCTAATTACCAGTCCGAAAACTGGCTAGCCTGTGTTATTTGCCCGTTTTTACCTCATTCAAATAAGAACACATTTAGGGTGTGTTTGGTATGAAGGAAAATGTTTTCCTAGAAAATATTTTCAAGAAAATGAGTGGTTTTATCACTTGTTTTCCCTTGTTTGGTTGGTGAGTGAAATTCTTTTTCCGGAAAATTTTTTCTAGTGTTTCGTTAGAGAGTAGAAAATATTTTTTAAGAAAATAATTTTTTATGCTACTCTCCTCAGTCCCCTTCCCCAAGTCCCTATATTTCCTGTGCTCTAAACCAACTAAACATGGGAATATTAGAATTCTTTCGTACCAAACACACCCTTAATAACAAAAAAGGATAAGGTGAGTAGGTGATTATTGTCGAGCTCGAGGTTGTCTTGTCGGCACCTCCTTAGATCCTACTACAATTAATATCACTAACTAATGCTCCCCGGGTCCAAAATAAGTGATTTTTTGGATGTATTCACACAAATTAAGAAATCCAACTTTTAGCATTAATTAGTAATGAAATTGACTATATTAACCTTTACTATCTCACATAAATACTCCTAACACATATTCCAACACCATTTACTTCAAGAACAATGTAGGAAAAAAATAATTAATTCATTCTTGAAATCTGAAAAAATCACTTATTTTGGATCACAAGAAAAAGACCAAAAAATCACTTATTTTGGACCGGAGTGAGTACAGTACATGATTTACTAGTTTCATAATCCAACAAATTACAAATCACAGTAATTAAAAGCGATCTAAATTGGCGCCTCTTTTACCCATCCCCCTTTCTCTCCTCTAATAAATAGCTCCGATCCAACATTTGAAATTACAAAGACCCAAAAGGGAATTAACCAACCAAAAAAAAATCTGAACTTTGCTCGAATATCTCCATGTCTATGCGTAGACGAACTTTGCTCAAAGTCATTGTCCTCGGCGACAGTGGGTACGATTCAAACCGTGGTTTTTTATTTTTACCAATTTATAATTTCTGATCCTAGGGCTAAGTTGTGTAATTTCCTTTTTTGTTAGTATATCCTATTCATTTCTCTTTTGGTTTGTTATTCAGGGTTGGTAAAACATCATTGATGAATCGGTATCCTTCTGTACCACTTTCCACAATTATTGGACATCACGTTATTTGTTTCTTTTTTAAATTTCACTTGTCTTATTCAAATTTCACCTCCTTGTAGTATTTCTTTTTTTAATTTTATGAAATCGCAAAATACTTCCTGTGTCCAAAAAAAGGATGATATATAAAGTATTTGTTATAAATACAATTATATTTATGGTGAATGTCTATATTTAGAGAGATTCTGGGGTTTATTACTTGGTGGCTAAGTCACCCTCTCCCTATAAATAGAGGGTTCTATTCTATTGTAATTCATCCTAAAAATCAATAAGAATTCTCTCTCCCAACTTTTCTTTGCAATATTATTCTTCTTCTTTTATTATTTCATAACACGTTATCAGCACGAGACTCTAACCAATTAAGTAGAAGCTTTGGGATTGATGATAATGATTGTCAATTGTTCTATGAATTTCCTTCATGATTAAATTCTGGATTTAAGGTAAGTATTTTACCGTATTTTTCTCTTTTATTCTATAATTTGATTTTAAATGCAAGCAAAGACAATAAATTTTGATTACAACTCTAATGGAGTTTGTAAGAAATTATAACCACCCGAAGTGGTAAAATTTCTATGTCTTGCCATGATCAAAGTCATGTATGATCGTGAGAACAAGAAGTGAATACTCGTCCCATTGAATTTGCTTCATTCTCATTCCCTTAAGAGAATGTGATAGCAATATGTGATAAGTCTGAAAGAAGACAAAATTATTACTATGAATGTATCAATGGATGTGGACGTGGCAATAGACGAAATTATAATCATCATCATTATGGTAATGAGAACAATAAGGATTCTCTAAATAATTCTTCACTTTGTGAAAGTTATTATTTGTCATCGATTTTGACATGAGATTTTATAAAGCAACTNTATAGATGATTATGGTCCATTCATGATGTGAATTTGACAACATCTAGGTTTACAAATCAT